GCCCACCCACCCAATGGTCACCCGGGCCAAATCCGGCATTTTCTGCCCCAAACACATCCTAAATCTTAACACTGTTGCCAGTATTTCCCCCATACCCCCCACCTACCGGAGTGCACTTAAAGATCCAAATTGGTACAATGCTATGTTAGATGAATATAATGCTTTGATTGTTAATAATACATGGGATTTAGTACCACCCTCCCCTAACCAAAATATTATCTCTGGCAAATGGCTTTTTAGACACAAACTTAGCCTTACAGGTGAACTGTCCAGGTACAAAGCTCGATGGGTTGTTCGTGGTTTTAATCAGCGGCATGGCATTGACTATGATGAGACCTTCAGCCCAGTGGTCAAGCCCGCGACTATACGGATCATTCTCAGTCTAGCAGTGTCTCGTGGGTGGCCAACTCATCAACTCGACGTCAAAAATGCCTTTCTACATGGTGATCTCACTGAGACGGTCTACACGGCACAACCATCTGGGTTCCAGGATCCGTCTCGCCCTCATTATGTTTGCAAACTGAAAAAGGCGCTCTATGGACTGAAGCAAGCGCCCAGGTCTTGGTACCAACGCTTCACCACCTTCCTACTCTCACTTGGTTTTCGTGGCTGCAAGAGCGACACGTCCTTGTTCATGTTTAGCCAGGGGGCTCAGGTGGCATTTCTTCTACTATATGTGGATGACATCCTTCTCACTGCTTCCTCACAGGGCCTTCTTCAGACAATCATCCAGCAGTTGAAGGGTGAGTTTGCCATGACTGACATGGGGGATCTTCACTTCTTTCTCGGCATTAATGTTCAGCGCACCACCCGTGGTCTGTTTCTCACACAGACACAGTTCCTGTACGACATATTAGATCGGGCAGGTATGCTCTCATGCAAACCAGTGTCCACCCCGGTTGATACACGGGGTAAGATGTCGGTCTCCGGAGGTTCACCAGCTGCAGACCCCTCACTGTACCGGTCTATTGTTGGAGCACTTCAGTATCTGACTTTTACTCGCCCGAATATTACTTATGCAATCCAGCAGCTTTGCCTCTTCCTCCATGCCCCACGTACGACCCACGTCACTGCCATGAAGCGGGTCCTCCGGTATCTCTGTGGCACACCTTCACACGGTATCTCCATCACTCCGTCGCCAACGGATAACATGCGCGCCTACTCCGATGCTGACTGGGCCGGATGCCCTGACACTCGCCGCTCCACATCCGGATATTGCATTTTCCTTGGTGACAACCTCATCTCATGGTCCTCCAAGCGCCAACTCACCACGTCCAGATCTAGCGCCGAGGCCGAGTACAGAGCCGTAGCAAATGCCGTGGCTGAAGTCAGTTGGATCCGGAATCTTCTTCTCGAGCTTCAGCAGCCCCTCAGCCGATCCACACTTGTTTTCTGCGACAACATTAGCGCGGTCTACCTGTCTGCAAATCCTGTCAAGCATCAGCGCACGAAGCATATCGAGGTTGATATTCATTTTGTTCGTGACAAGGTCGCTCTTGGACAGGTCCGCGTAATTCATGTCCCTTCGTCACTCCAGTACGCCGACATCTTCACAAAGGGTCTCCCGTCCATTATTTTCTCCGAGTTTCGGGATTGCTTGGGAGTTCGGCCTTCATTACCAGCGCCGTCGGGAGCATGTTAAATATATCAAGTATATATTTAGTATATTTTGTATATAGTAGTTTCCATGTATTGTAGAGTCCTTATTTATTATAGTTTCCTAACACAATAGGTTTCCTAACATAACTATGGAAACCTCTACTATATATACTCCCTTGTATTCACACATTACATTAGTGGAAAATATTTATTCTTCAGAAACAATAGACTTGGGCCCAATTCAACCCCAAAAGTTAACTCAAGAGGTTGAGGTACCCAAGCTATTAAATAACAGCACAATATAAGACTGCATAGCCGATGTGGGATGAACAAGTCAACAGGATGATTACATCTTCCCGTGCTTGAAGTAAATCAAAGTTTGGGGATGATTACATCTTCCCGTGCTTTCATGCCCTTATTACTATGCAATAAGGCTATTCAACTTTTTTTGAGCATAGTAATGAGGTTTATCTCACAAGAATTAACCCAAAAGATTATTTGAATGTTCTTAGGCTCTCAATCTAAGCCTATAGATTAAGGACACATTTATGGAACATCGTTGCACCAAATGCAGCTTAATATATACTCCTTCCATTCGAAATAATAATTAAAAAGTTCTTATTTGCATTGGCTATTCATAAGCTCTAGTGTTGATTAAGGACTAATTATCATTTCTGAAATTACATACAAGTAGACCCTTTTAAATTATCATATCTTGGACCATTCTACCCCATGGCATAGGCGCACTTTGCCACTAATCGATCACAATATGGTGCATTATTATGCCCTTGTACTATTAGCTTTTATTAATATAAGGAAAATGCTAGAGTCACAAACATATACTTCACAAACTTAGTTTTTGTGGATTTTAAATTAAAATATCTTTTATTATTTGAGTGCATCTTATCTCTAGAAAAGTGCTAAAAAGGTAAGTTTGTGAATTTTGTGAACTGTTTGTTTGTGACTCTAGCATTACTCTTAATATAAATAAATAATAACGGAATAAGGAATGAATAGAACATTTCAAAGCTTTTCCTTCTTGAACTTGATGTAGTCCGCCAGCAGCCCTTCATTAACGTTTCTCTCCATCTTCTCTCCTATACTCTTCAGAATCTAAAATACAGCATGACAAATTACAAGACACGACAAAAACCGGAGCGCAATAAACGAGCCAATATAATACCAAGTATGTACCCTTGCTTTAGCGATGCAAGTGAAATGATAGATCAGAATAAGTGAAACGATTAATTAAATAATTACCAGTTGCGCGGCGTCATTATGAAAGTTTTGAGGGATGAGAGCAAATGCAGAGGGGGGATCAAAGGTTATGCTCATCACAAGCTCCCCCTTCATCCTGCTGCTCCCCTTGATACTCCCTTTCCTCACTGGGTATACAACTCCTTCCACCCCCAGCTCGAATCTCGTTTGCTTCAACAACCCCTCCATGCTCCCCTTCAGCTCCGATTTTATCTGTATATGTTAGAATATAAGAAACATTTCCTGGGCCACAACCACAGGCTTGAGCTTTTGGTTGATTTGGTTTCTTAACATGGTATTAGAGCCTTATTGACTAAGAGGTCACGAGTTCGAAACTCAACGCCACCTTGTTTTAAAAATTTAAGGTTTCATATGCAAGGCTTGAAAAAAATTACGCACGTGAGGGGGCGTGTTAGAATATAAGAACATTTCCTGGGGCATAACCACAAGCTTGGGCTTTAGATTAATTTGGTTTCTTGACAGTGTACGTCATATATTTCATTTGCATATGGTATGTATCATAATGCACGAACACACACAAAGAATGGATGATGTAGGTTGCGTACGGCTTTCAACTCGAGAATCTTGGAAGTGTTGGGAGGAATGCCGGAAGGGAAACACGCGCCTTGGCCTTTGCAAGTCACTCTCACTCTCATGTGGACTACTGGCGCCACCGACATGAACAAAAACTCTATGGGCGCCATGTATATCCTCCATTCTTCCTATCCCACAATTAACCAATTCAATATCGATCAGGTAAGATAAAAAAAATGAACATGAATCTGAATTGCAGCATATATATCCGCCAAAAGGGTGGACTTGGCCAGCCTAGACTAAAGAATATTTTATTTTCTCAAATACTCAATCAAAACACACAAATAAATGAAAATTGTTAGGTGATGAAAGACGAGTATTTTGAGATGAAGTATATATACAAATATATACCTCGTTGATTCGTTCAGGTAATCTCTTCTCATAAGGAGATATTGCCCTGATTAGTCTCGGCTTCTCTTCGAGATACTCATCAAACGAAGCCTGCAAACAAAAATAAATGTTTTTTGAATTACAAGGTAGATATTAAGTTTTAATGGCATTTATAAGTACAACATTTTAAGCATTGATATTTAGGATTTACATATAAGTATTACTATTTGTAAGCGCATTTCAACACCAATCTGAACTAGATATTACAAATCAGGGAGCGTTTTAATTACATCCTGAAAAGATTCGTTCATTTCACATTTTAGGATCTCCTGGAGTCCAATGTATTAGAGGATACTCCTATATTACTTGTTGCCTTTGCCGTGCGCTGCCCCCAGTCCTCCAGTAAAGTGTCTTGTTGGCATTGTGGATTTCCTGAAAACTTTGGAAGAGGAAGGGGTGGTCGTGGTTCGTTCAACAGGGGTGGACGCGGCGGCGGCGGTGGGTCTTCATTTGGAAATTAAATGACCACTCTAATATTTTAAATATCCAGGTCAGGCTGCATACGCGATTACCTATGTTGCTTGAACAGTGCTATCTTTGGAAAGAACTAATCTTTCTAGAAGGTGTTAAGTCTCTATAGACACTCTCTCTTGACCCTTTTGTAGAATTCAATTGGATTGTTGTTGTAAAGATAAACAAATAGATGCTCGTTTAGATGAATCATTTATACTCCATAATAAATAAAATCAAATTTGAGGTATGACTAATCTTTAAAAAAAAAGATGGAGGTAGAAAGTCTTTTTTAAAAGTGAAATTTTCATTAAATAGTATTAAAACATATGTCATTTCTTAATGTAGTACTTAAACTTTTTTTATTTATTTATTTTTGTTTTATCCCCCACCCCCTCCCCTCCCTTCTCCCACACTCATTTTTGTTTTATTTTTATTTATTTATTTTTTTTGAATTGCTTGCCCTTTTTTGTGGATAAGGAGAGGGTGGGGATACACATTTGGTGTATCCTAGGATTTTTCTTTCAATAAAGGTAAAAATATTTTTGAAAGTTAGGTAAAGTTGGGATAAAGGTAATAATAAGTACGGAGTATTTTTTTCCAGATTTAAAAGGTAAGTAGGTTTTAGATTTAAGAAGGGAGCAGGTAGAGAAGATAAAGTTCGGATAAAAGATGAATGACTTTCCACCACGAGAATAAATGCACTGTAAAAAAAACAAATGACATGAAAAAACCTCAAATTAGGGAATTTGAGAGAAGTAGCGGTTTTTGTTTTAAAGGAGAATTCATAATAAAATAATTACCTCCGGTGCTTCGTAGAAGGGAATATCGAAGGTGATTTTGAAGGTGTGTGTCTTTCTGTCGGAGCAGACGTCGTCGTTTACTGTCCGACGAGCAGCCTCTGCCACGTGGCGTCGGGGAGGAGCCGCAAATACATTTGAGTATTTGCTGCAGCCGGCCCGATGCGGCGGCGGGTTCCAGTTGGTCAAGCCACCGCGGCGGCGGCCTTCCGGGAAGTGCGACCGCACAGTGTGGTGGGCGCACCTAATTAGAGAGGCCATTGTGAAAATAAAAAGCAATTAAAATGGGAAGAAGGTGTGTAATAGGCGGGTAATTAGCTTATATAGTTTAGTGGAGAGATTGGGCGGTTGCGCTGGCATGCAACTTGCATGTACAAATGTACGGAGTGGTATTTATGTACGTGTTTCTTTCTCAGCCTTCGATTTCACATACGCACCTGCAACAACTACTCGTATATCTACGTACGTCTATATATATACATCTAAAGAAATCGCCTTTATCCAAGTAAAAAATATACGAAATTCAGAGTTTTAATGTTTTTATCCCAAAAATAATGTTTTTACCCCATAATAAAAGTGTACACTGTAATAAAAGTGGCACTATTTTGGTAGATTTTATATGCTTTACTTTTTACTTTAGTACTTTTCCCATAGACATACCGATGTATGTGTCACGTTCTCTGAGTCTCGGGATCGATTTTCGACAACCATAGTAATTAAGGTCATAAGGTCATAAGTTATGGCGGTATAAGGTCATAAGTTATGGCGGGCTTGACGGGGTGTAAAGTTGTATGATGTGAAGTGATAAAAATATGTGTGTTGTGGCGGGTGATGATTGGGAAGCGATGATGTGTGAATATGTATTTAGTTTGGATTCGTTTGAACTCAAAAAGGGGGGGTAACACGTACTCCCTCCGTCATAAAATGTTCTTCCCACTCACTTTTTACCCGGTCAAACTATAATCACTTTCTTTACCTATTTTCATTAGGTATTTGATAAAATAATATAGTCTTGTCACCACTTGTTTTGTAGAACTTTTGATGTACTTTTTAAATATATAACTTTTATTTTTTAATTTTACACCTACAGTCAAATAAATTGAATTGAAAATAAAGTCGGTCAAACCTTGTAAAATGAACCGGGAAGAACATTATAGGACGGAGGGAGTATTTAATTTGGATTGGTCCGTCAGATAAATTACGGAGTATGATTATTTGAATATTCGTTTATGATTCTGTATGTATTCAAATATGAACCAAAAACAAATTCAAATCTTATTTTTAATTCATTTCATATTCAGATACGAACTCGTATTCGTAAAAATTAAACAAATACAAATTTAATGTCTCAGTATTTGTTTCGATTCAGTTCGTTTATAAGAGCAGTGGAAATACTGCTAACGCCAAGGGGCGTTAGGCGAGTTTTGACGACTGGGGGGCGTGAAACACCGCCCCCCTTCCCCGTTAAAAGGGCGTTAAAATACTTGCGTTAAAGGTTTGACGCGGTTTGAAGGCATTATCACGCCTTCTTCCTTCCTTTTTTTCCCTCTTTTTTCTTCTTTTCTTCTTTATAAATTAAATTTAATTTTTTTTTAAAAATTCAACACAAATACAAAATTCTCTCTATCTATCATTTTTTTTAAAAAATTATTATTCAAGTATTTTATTTATTTTTTCATGAATGTAATTTTTTTATTTAATGAATGTAATGTTTTTATTTAATTAATGTAGTTTTTTTATAATGCATGCAATTTTTTAATTTAATGAATGTAATTTTTTTATTTAAAATCATGGAAACTGACCTTTCTACGTTCTCGGGTTTCAAACGGATGATATACGAGCAAAGACAAAGAGAGATCAAGGCGAAATATAATTTAACTTAGTTTTTTAATTAATATATCTTTTTTAATATTGCTGTTTTTTTATTTTAATGAATGTATTTTTTTGTATTCGTGTTTCAATATTATTAAATAATAAATTAATTTAAATTTATTAATTTAAATTTAGAAGATGTATATTTAAAAATGTGAAAAATAAAGGTTTGAAGCCCAGTTTGAAGCCCCGGGGCTTCAAACCCATTTCCAGTGAATTTTTGATGTAAGTTAAAGCAGACGTGGCAGAGAGAGAAATTTTGAAGCCCCGATTTAAAGCCCCGGGCTTCAAAGGTATTACGAGTGCTCTAAGCTCTAAGGGCAAGGGTGGGTTGTTGATAAAAGTGTCCAATTTGAGAATTAGTCATATCAAAATGTGTGGTAGGTGAAAAGTATTTTGATAGACAGAGGATAGACAGGGGGGAGTATTTTGAGTATATATTGTTGGTAAAAATTAATTCTATATATTGAATAATTGATAAAATAAAATCATTTTTGGCATGTCTTTATTATATAATTTTTAATGTAATTCTGGAATACTCTATAAGGAATTTGTGCTTTTTGTTTCTATAATAATTTCTAAATAAAATAGTTTTTAAAAACATGGAATTTTAAACGTTCGAAATGATGCCTTATTTTTCAGAACGGAGAAATTCAGCGAATATGTATAAGTGTATTTTAGATATTGGGGAATTTATGCAAATAACACTAAAACATAATGACTTTTCCTAAATAGCATCACATGCGTTTTTTCCCAATCTAGCACTTTTAGTCATTATCCATTAGTCATTATTCAAGTAAATATTGGCCATCCCTGGACATTATGGACATTATAAAGTGCTATTTAGAGAATAAAACAATTTAAATACTACTTAGGTAAATGACCTAAGTTTAAGTACTATTTAGTGCAAATATTACTTGGATATTTTCCACGAGTATATTTTTTAAAACCCACAGAAATATAGACATACCCTTTCAAAGATGTATAAAAGCATTGATTTGATTAAAATTCTTACGAATCCTTAGCTTCTTGCCTGTTTTGATCTGATTTCAATTAAAGTTAAAATGGTTTTTGATCTCATGCAATATGAATTAATCTAATCTTGTCAACCAAGTCATTGGCAAAACTCTTACAAGAGATTTTTACAAGTCGTGAACGTAACAACTAGATTTAATTAGATTGGTATAGTTAAAGTCTTAAAACAATGCTTAAAGTAGGCAACTTTTAGTAGTTTGAGCTTTGGATAACAAAGTTTGTTGAGTTGGTGAGCAATGCGTGAAAGAAAGGGAGGAAACTCCAAACACACGAAATGCACTAATAGTCTAAATGTTCCCCAAACACAACTTTTTGCTCATTCCTCTCAAGCATGATTAGACCCGATCACGGGCCCGGGTATCTTGTCCGCTCGCAAAAGCCCGCCCGCAAAATAGAGGGCTTGGACTTGACATGTTAGGGTACGGGCCAGGCTTGGGCCTTATAAATGGCGGCCCGAATATTTCAGGGCCGGGCTTGGGTTTATGCTCAAGCCCACAGGCCGCCCTGGCCCGAATAAATTAAATATTTATTATTAATATAATTATAATAAAATAACAATAACAGCATTAATAATAATAATACTCCGTAATAAAGAACAAACCTATTTCAAATTATTATACACACATACATACTTCTATGGAGAGAAAAAAATAAATTATAGGTATATATAATAAAGTCAAATTTTGACTCTAAAGTCAAAATCAACTTGTAGGGTGCAATTGAAGGGGGGTGGGGGGTGTGTTCGGGTTGAGGCCGGATGGGGGGTTTACCGGGGGGTTAGGAGGGATAGGAACCGTTAATTTTACGAACGGGACACCAGAGCGCTCCTGAGTCATCCCATGACATCAAGATTTAATGTCACTTGAACGTTAGTGTAATTTTTAATATTCACCCGATACCAACTATAACAACAGGGAGTAGGTAGCACACTGAGAAAAGTATCAGTCATAAAGAACTTTATAGTACACATCAATTAAAGCTACGTTCTTGTTTGTTTGTGCTTTCTTCGTTTTCATAATACACCCCATTTCCTACTATGCATATGGACCCAACATTGGGACTGTGGATCTTTCATTCGATTTATACTCCCTCCGTTCATAAATAATGTTCAGAGTTTGACTTGGCACGGAGTTTAAGAAAATGTAAAAAAACCCTTGATTTTCCAACTTTGCCCTTTGGTTAATTAAAATTAAAGGTAAAGGTGAATAAAGTTAAATAGTAGTGATTGGATAGATAAAGTAATGAAAATGATTAAAATATTGTTAAAGTACAAGTACAAGTACAAAAGTTGGGGAAGTGGTGTGGTTGGAGTAAATTAAAGTGGGTGGTGGGTGAGGGGTATTAAAGGCATTTCACTTATAATTCCTTTCCTAATTTAGAAACATGAACTTTATTTGTGGACGGACGAAAAAGGAAAGTACGAACATTAAAAATGGACGGAGGGAGTATTAAATTTGATTTTGATTGATATTATTATCCTCTTTTTTCATTCGATCAAATTTCAATCACTTTCTTTATTTATTTTCATTAGTTATTTGATTAAATAATGTACCCTTGTCATCTCTTGTTTTGTAAAACTTTTCATGTATTTTTTAAATATATAAAATTTTATTTTTGAATTTTACACCTACAATCAAATAAGTTAAATTGAAAATAAAATTGGTCAAACCTCGTAAACAAAAACAAGAAGAACATTTTAGTACCAAGGAAGTAGAAAGGATTAAAAGACTTTTTGTGTCATTTCCATGTTTTTCAAAAATTGTAAGAATTCTCCCTGAATTTTAAAAATTATCCCAATAGTTTTTTGACTTCTAAAAATGTTGAATATATCAATAGTTTCTCGATTTCAGATTTGGCAGAGTGTTAACCACACACTCATGACTCATCAATATACCTGTTAGAAGTTGATGAAAATGTCATGGATAGATGAAAATGTTGATTGATTAATTAAAAGCTTAATCGATTGATGCCCGGGCTTCGAGATCGATTACCTAGGGCTAAAAAAAGAATAATTATCTAGGATTTCAAGAAATAAAAATTTTGGGAAATCATATTGTAAAGCTCACGTGTGATATAAATTTTGATGAATCCATACTTGCAGTGGACAAGCGCATGATTAACACACTCTCAACTCAAATCTTGCACAGAAGAACTATTGACATAATATTTTCAAAAGTTCAAGGACCATTAGTGCAATTTTAAAGTTAAAGGGGAATCCGCGCAATTTTTGAAGAACTCGGGGATAAATGTCGCAAAAAGCTCACGAATAAAATGTGCACTTGATAGCTACAATTATCGAATAAATCGATCTTTTCAATAACAAAAATAATTGAACTAGTCAAATATCCTCAGCTAATTAAGAAGTTGACAATTGAAAATAAAAAGATGGTTAAATTGTTACACAACTGGCTCGCTCATCTACTTGCCCTCCTAATAAAGTACGGAGAAAAAAGATGTCATCTTTTTTTAGTGAATTAGATGAGTTTCTTTCTCTCAAAGAATGACTTCAAATGCCAAAGCTGCAGAGCAGCCACAGACAAGCAAACAAAGATTGAGAGAAAACTGAAAGTGGCCATTTTGCCCTTAGTTGCCATGTTCAGTTCTTGCATTTCTTCCTCCCTACATGATCACATTACAACATATACAAAAGAGTACTCACATATAATAATGCTCAGATTCATCAAAAGAAAAGAAGAGGGGGGGGGGGGATGAACCCATTGCTACCTTTCGCGAAGATAGAACATCTCGTTGTGAATCGATGAGACTGCGTCCAACAATTTCATAAGCTCAAGCTCCATCTCCTACCAGCCAATCAAGCAATGAAGATTATTATGAGGTTTAAAGCCCACGAAGCATTTATTATAGGGACAACTACACTAAAATGTCATTCCTGCATAATTAAGGAGGATTAAATCACTAGTCCACAACCAATTATTGCAGAAGAATCCATTAATGAAGTGTTAAGCCATCTCACATCGGCCAATATCAAATTAATAACAAACACATATGCTCCGTATAAGACATTGGATTACTCTTTCTACATCCCTAGCTATCGCCTATCGGGCTGATTTTTAGAATGTAATCCCAAATCTTATTATGTGACAAAGATCAAATGCATCAAAGATGCAAATTCTAATACCCCAAATCAAATTCTCATTCATGCCACCCCGAGCAAAATGTTAATACGTCGTCGTTTTGAGCCAAAACAAATTTTAAAAGTTGCAAAATTTAGTGTTGTTGAATTTTAAGCGTGAATGTTCTTCAATGAACATTCAACAGCTTAATACTAAGTAGTATCTAGGTGAGCATTAAACAGGGCTAAACTTGGATTCTAAGTTTCTAACACCATTGGTAATGGAAATATGAAGAAACAACTAAGAGATCTCACCCAATCATGAACATAGATATTTCTGTAGTTCCTCTCCCTTCCCATTTCTCTTTTTTGGTAATTTAGTATCTATGAGGAACTAATTTAATCAGCTGAATAACTTACCACAAGGAAGCACATACTAAGAACTTAATTAACAAATATGGAGTAGCAATGAAGGCAAACAAGAAAATGCAGGGGAAGAATTGAAAGAGGAGGTAGAATTTCGAAACACTCACTTCAATCTGATCTTTCTTGGCAACTTTGGACCAATCCTTGGACGAAAACCCGGTCTTCCAATCGAACTCAATGGACAGTGTGAAGGGTGGCTTGTGATCAGGCGCCCAGAAACAAACCATATAGTCGCCCGTCTCCGCCGCAGTAAACGCAAAATTACCAGACTCTACATGCTCTGCATAGTGGTAGTGGTGCCCATATGGAGACGTCACCTGTTTCATCCATTCATCCACACACCCCTTTAAGGCATTTCATCAAACACTTGATGTGCAACAATCAACAGTATCCTACTTATTAAAGTACAACTTAAGCAATTAATTAGGTTATATAAATACCCTAATTCACGAAATTAAATTGCGATTCAAATAAAAGGGATTGCGTGAAAGTCCCAAATTTCAGGTCCTGGTGATTCGAGAAATTAAATCAATATAAAACATGAATTCCAGAGATATTTGGGGACGGACCCGGACGGTGGCCTTATGGGAATCCGGCAGGGGGTAACCGTCGAGGGGGTTGATGACGGAGTACTTGCCGACGGTCATGGCGTTCTGGTTGATGTCGTCGGCGATGCATTTGGAGTCGCCGGACTTCAGATCGAACAGCATTGCTTCACCTGATCCCATCATCGCCGTCGTCATCGCTAAGGCGATCAGAATCCGGCCACTAAAACTCCCCATTGAATTCATTTCCTCAATCTCTGTGGTCTTGTTTGGCTTTCATTGTTATGGGTTTGGCATTCATATTAATTCCCTATTTCCTCGCTATTCTTCAGGCGGACAGTACAGAAAATATCCCATGCAAGAAATGCACGCATACATAGTCCCATGCATCACTATGAAATAAATAGCCCAAATGGGCTCAATACTTCAAGTCTTCAATTACTTTCTACATAAAAATATTTCTTCCATCTCAAAATAAATTTTAAAATTTTCTTTTTAACTTTTATGTGAAATTTTCACTGAATAGAACTAAAACATAAGTCATTTTCCAACGTAGGACTTAAACTTTTTTATTCCCTAAATAGGACTTAATAATGACTAGTGAGAAGAATAATGTCCAAGTGATGTTGGACATTTAATTGAATAATGACTAATAGATAATGACCAACGGTCCTATATTTGGAAATAAAAACATATGATCCTATATTAAGAGAGTCATTATGTTCCAGACATATTTAGGTAAACTAGAAGTTTTTCCTCTAAAATTGGAATAAGCAAGTGAGCATGATCCACAGGAATATAGCTTTTGAAGCTTGAACCAATATGCATTGAAAACTATTGCATTTGTGTTACAAAAAACATACACCAGTATTATTCTGTCTTGATACGAATCGAACTCTTCGAAAGAGATGAGATTGACATGCCTCCATCTCTAAGCTTCCATTGTGCATATGTCATGTCACGCAACTGGAAAATTTATTGAACTACCATACAACAATTTTTAAAAAGAAACGAAACAACCACACCAGCTAGAATAGCACGAAGAGGGATCGAAAGCGTGCAGTGTCTAGACTCCATACATACGCCGCGTTTGGCTATATGGTCTCTAGAGCCTGAAGAACGTCAGCCTTCAAGTCTTCAAAACCCTCAACCCCAAAGCTGAACCTAACCAAGTTGTCCATTATCCCGAGTTTGGCCCTTTCCGACGGGGTAAGATCCCTATTTCCATATTAATGCATTCATTCAGGACAAACAAACAACCTTTTACGAAGTGAATTCAAAAACATGCAATATAAACACATACCAATAAGTCATAATAGCAGGTTGGTCCACAATGCTCTCAACGCCACCAAACGATGGGGCATTGTATGCTATCTTCAGAGCATCCACAAATTTAGCAGTTCTCTTCAGGTCTCCATCAATCTAATATCCATTGTATATGTAACATTATATTGACAAGCTTTCGGTACCTCATACCATGAATTTTTTAAGAATGCTAAGTTTATGCTTCACACGCGACCAGCATTTGGACCTTGCTTTTCGTAGAGTTTTTTTTTAATTGGGGATGACAGAAGATATAAATACTAGAGGGTTGTGAAGAAATACACACAGACCTCAAAACTGACCACACCACCAAAGCCACTCATCTGTCTCTTGACAATATGATGATCTGGATGACTTGGCAACCCCGGGTAATGCACACGCCTCACCTGCAATGCCAAAACGGCCCAAAATTTTCAAACATGTTTTTGAAGATCGAGCCATAGAATAGATCGAGTAGAAATGGTGCAGAACTGTGTTAATACCTTTGGATGGGCCTCCAAAATTTCAGCCATCTTCAATGCCGTTGCGTTTTGTTGCTGAACACGGAGGTGCAGCGTTTTCATCCCTCTAATGATAAGATACGCAGCATTCTGATAGAAATCGAGATTTTGCAAACTTAATTCAACTTGGGAACATTCCATATGTGTTTATGATATTATCATACATTGAACACTCACTGGGTCAAGAACACCACCCATTGTTATATGCAGGTCATGAATTAGGCAAATCAACTTTTTAGGTCCACTGATGCATCCAGCCAGAACCTGCAAAAGAAAAACAACATTTTTACCAGTAAATTGATGAGAGGTAAGGGGTATATGTGGCAGCTAAGTGATAGCTAAACACTAGCTGGCATCAGCTGCTTACATCATTATGCCCGCCGAGGTACTTGGTGGCGGATTGCAGGACGAGGTCAGCCCCGAGAGCTAAGGCCTTTTGGTTGATGGGAGTGGACAATGTTCCGTCTATACAAACCAATGCGCCCTTTTCGTGGCAAAGCTTGGAAACGGCCTCAATGTCAACACATCTTAGCAATGGATTTGATGGAGACTCTGAGAAATAAAGGCTCACCTGCACAAATAATAACACAGCACCAATAACTCAATAAGGAATGACTATTGAATTGAACCTTACACTTTGCTTTTTTACATAAACTTTCCAATACTAACTTTGTGTCTATTCAATGCAGACTCCAAACCTTCCATATCAGCTGGGTCGATTACCGTGGCCTGCACTCAAAACAAAAATGACACACTTAAAATCCAAGCTTGTGATTGTAGTCCCATGAAGGGTTCTAGTGACAATTTTACTCTAGGGCAAAGTAAAGTGCAAAGGGTTGAAGATGGGAGAAAATTAAATGTCTGTTACGTACGGTGATGCCCATTTTAGGAAGTATCGTCTTGATGAAGATCCTAATCTGCACATAGCAATCGGTGGTGGTGACAATATGCCCACCGGCAGGGACCAATGCCATAATCATTAAGGTACTGGCAGCCATTCCAGATGACACTAACAATGTCGATTCTGCCCCTTCCAGCGCGCTGTTCAATTCAATTGAAGAAAGAAACACAATTAAAACTCTTCTATTGGATTACTAGCCACAACATTCTATTCAAAGAAACGAGAGCTGATGGACCTCAGCTTCTCTTCTGCAACTGCAGTGGTTGGGTTTCCCAATCGCCCGTATTCAAAACTCGCTCGTCTGTTCTCCTGTAAGATCATCAGGATCAGAACAAACCAACTTTTTTTTGCAACGAAATCGAAATCTATATATTCCATGGCAATAAATATAATGAATGTGGATGGAATTGAAGCAAATACAGTACTTTGGAGTCAATTAGTTCAGATGTGCTGTTGAAGAAATAAGCAGATGTGTTAACGACTGGTGTGGTTATTCCATCAGTCACAATACCTCGCCCCATTCTTTCCCCTGCATAAACGACGAACAGATTGTCTTCAAAATCGAATCTTTTCAACATCCTTAAAAAGTCTTAATTTTTGAATGTCTGTAACATAATTAATCTCTATTAATCTCAAAGCTGGCTTGGCGTTCTACTTAGAATGAGCAAGAACAGACATACCCCCGTGAACTGCAATGCTCCCGTCTGAACTCAAAAAAGAAGCGTACTTGGCTGGGGAAAGATTGCGATTCTTTACATCACCACTGCCCGCTAGCTCAGCCTCCTCAGCTGCAAGGGGCGAAGCGGCGGCGGCGGCCGGAGAAAGGACGGAGGTAGGGTGGATGTTGAACCTTGATGCCATGTTTGGGAGAGGGAGGATACAATGATAAGAGAGTAAAGCACTGCATTATTTATACCACTGAGACTAGGGAGTGACAATTTGACAAGTAAATTTCACAAATGTTACCTGAAATTTATGCTGGCGGGTCGGAGCGTTTTCCGGCGAAATCCGGCGGAATTGACGGCGGGCACCAACGCCAATGCGGTCGTGGCATCCGAGCTACCTCCAAGGACCCCTCAATTGCAAGATTTGATGAAGATTTGCAAAACCCCCAATTTTGGATCGAATTTCGAATTTTAGGGTTTTCTCGAGTAGAAAAATTCAGATTCGAGAAGTTACAGGCCAAATTAGACAAAATGGTTTGAATATTATTGATCCTTGTCTCAAGACGAAGAGAATGACATTGGTCCCGCCGGAATTGGAAAAAGTTCATTTTCCGGCGACTTTGACTGGCGGGCGGCGGCGGCGGGGCGTGGAAGAAAAGAAAATGAGAAATGGGGTCAAATTGAAAATTTTAAAATATATAAAATTCGAATTTGGTCCTAATGACCGGAAGTTAACCTAGAAACAGGCTAATGGCTCATTAGTGAAAGGATTGTGTAAGTTTAGGGATTTTTGTGAAAGGATTTGAAGTTCAGGTACTACTTCGAAATTTCAGCTAAAGTTCAGGTACCATTTGTGAAATTTACCCACAATTTGACATTCTCTACAACCTTTTCTTGTCCAAAAATATACTCTCATTTTTCATGAATTCTTTAAATTTTTTATCCTATCTTGTTTTATAAAAATTTTAATGTAGTTTTCGAAATATGTAATTTGTATGTTTATTTTTATATTAATTTATAATAAATAATTTCAAAAAAAGAAATTAGGCCTCTTGTAATAAATTGGGACGGATGGAGTATATTAATTCCTAGGTGTTCTTAAAATAAAGAACACCTAGGCACTATTTTCAAATTTAATACTCCCTCCGTCATATAATTAATTTCCCAATTTGACTTTTGTAGTCAAACTTTTTGAACTTTGACCGTATATTACGGAAAAGATACATTGAATTTTAATATAAATTTATTATCAATAGATTCATTTTGAAACATAGTTTTGAAATATATAATTTTTATAAAATATATTTATATAAAAATTGAGATATTGATGGTCAAAGTGTCGCATTGGAGACCGTGAAAAGTCAAATGAGAAGTTAATTTTAGGTCAGAGGGAGTACTCCGTATCACTATTTAGAGAAATTGAAATAAAAATAAATTCAATGAAATTCGTATATAATACTCCATTAAATTTTAGTTCTAAAAGAAAAAAAGTAAGGACTTGTTTGACAACCTTTTCAATGTCATAATAGGGAGAGAGGGTTTAAAAAGAAGTTGGAATAGATCTTATTAAATTTTGAAAAAAGGCATCAATTTTCATCTAAACAAAAAAAAATTAAGACAAGTGGAAAATGTTTTAAAAATGAATATAATATAAAACACTAACACTAATTAGAAATATATGCATAACAAAATATCTGGTGGTCCAGCGGTATGATGGTGACTTTTTTATAAAGAGAGTCATTAGTTCGATTCTAGTGGGAACTATAAGCCTAACTCTACGTCCTCAATATATTAAGAATGTATAAATAAATATTACCTCCGGGCTCCGTCCCAAAATGCAAGCAAGAATTACTATTTCAATTCTCGATAACTTTGGTTTTGTTTACTCATTTTAGTTGCTTATTTAATAAAATAAAATATCCTTGTCATATCTTATTTTGTAAAATTTTTGATCTATTTTTGAACAATATAGTTTTTACTTTTTAAAAAATTATACTTTACTCAAAAGACGTTTAATATCATTGTTGTTTTTATGAAAAAGAAGATCGAGTTAATTTCGACTTCTCGATAACTTTTGTTTGTTTACTCATTTTGGTTGACCATTTGATAAAATAAAATATTCTTGTCGTATTATATTTTGTAAAACTTTTAATCTATTTTTGAATGATGTGATTTTTTAGTTTTTATTTTTTGATCAATTTGTAAATAAAATAATTTTAGAAGAATATTATTTTCTATGTCATTCAAAATGTTGCGAATAAATCAAAAGATGGGAACAGGCTGTGAATTGATTTGATTTGGCATATTATGGCTCCGGCGTTTTCTCATCACACGCTGTGATTGTGGGAATCAATTCCCTCAAAGTCCCCCCCACCAACGTCTCCATCACCATTTCGTCACTCCTGACTCCCATTTATCCTTTATTCTCGAGTTATTCTTTCCTGTATTAAAATATTTCCACACATAAAATATACCGAGTAAATTTCTTTCCGGTATTCTCAAGTTACCCCCAAAGGGTCGCTTACCACTTGGTGCCGCGCTAGTCGCGGGTCGCTGCTGCTGTTCGTTCTTTCCGCCTTGTTTCATTCGGTGAGGGAGACACGAGAGGGAGAGGAGGATTACGTGAGTATTATGGGAGGCGTGTAGGAATTTTAGGCGTGTAAAGCCTATATTTATATTTTTTGGAGTTTTGGGCTACGTATTAACTGAACGTACCTGACCCAAACGCACTTCCTGGGCCCACGGGCTCCAAATCCAAATCTGATTTCACCGTTAGATTCGATCTGTCGAACCCTACACAACGGTATAAACCTTATTTTCTAACAAAGAATATTTATAATTCCCACCGAGTCCGTCTCAGTAATTAATTAATTATTTTTACTTAATTAATTCTAATAAGCCGGGTTTTGGGGCATTACATTGCATGATCTTGATTGGTTTGGATTCATCTTCTTACGACCCTAATGTTTTCATTCTTCCCCAAACTCACGTAGTACGAGTTAAGATTTGGACTACTTTTATAAATATTTCATTATCACTAGACGAATTGTGGGGGGCAACGCATAATAGCCACACATTTTGTGGGGGGGGTAACGGCGGGGTTTGGGTGGGGTGCAGTGGCGGGGGGTTTAGGGGGTGTGTTAGGGGGGATAGGAACCGTCAATTTTGCGAACGGAGCACCGGAGGTACTCCAAAAACGCAGTGGCACCACTAGTGGCACCGAACTCCGGTGTCACTAGAACCCACCGTTGGAAGAAAGAATGTTTGAATTATTAATCTTTTGAGCATAATACAAGAGAGAAGAGCGACAAAAAACAAAAAGTGGAATGTGTTAGAAAATATATAAAAATTAGATGTTTTAAATATAAGAGAGAACAAAGTGGGCTGAGGTTGAAATTTAACAATTGAATTTTAAAAATAGTATTTTAATGAAACAAGCGTTCGGGGGGGGGGGGGGTT